TACCGAATTCAGCATTTCACCGAAGAGGCCAACTCGGAAAACATGAAAGCAAATCTAGACCTGCTTGAAGAACACCGTATTCGGTCCGAACTCAAGAATGCTGCATACAAGCAAAGAAATGAAAGATACATCAATTCCAAACTCAAACCTCGTGCATTCCGAGTTGGAGATTTGGTCCTCAAGCGTATCATGGGGCCTGACCCCGGACCACTCAAACCGCGGTGGGAAGGACCCTTTCAAATCATCAAAGTCCTACCTCATGGGGCCTACCGAATTGCTCATCCCGATGGAACACCACATCAATATCCTTGGAACGCAGTGTTCTTGAAAAAATTCTATCAATGAAGGATCCGAAGTCGCATAATCGACCTCCCTTTTGTACGGACCTTCTCTTTTGCCTCGGTGAATGCCTGAAATCACCTCTTTTGATGTACTGAATAGCTTATCAGCTTACATATTTTGAAAAGTCGAGCACCAAGCTCGATGCCGATGTAAACCTTTCGAAACGTGGTTAAATATATCATGCCGATGTAAACATTGCGACACTCGGTCTAGCTGATACCCCGTAATACATCCAAACCCCACGTATGGTTTGGTTGGGGTTGAAGCTCGTCAAACGTCACTTCAGCTAACATGATTTGACGGGCCCCGATAAGTACCGAACACTCACTCAAACAACTCGGTTGGGGCCATTCTATAATCGGACTCTGGACGAAGTCCGGTGACTTTCATTTTGTTTCCCGTACAGCCCTAAAAATGTGTTGAGTTCTGCGAAGTTATTTGAAAACTCGCATAATCGACTCACACTTGTGGCTTAAATTCTTATAAACGATCGAAGTGGAATTCGGAAGTTAGTTTTACAAAATTTTACAACTCGGATCATGATTTAAGTAATTCCGAGTTGAAGCAATTTATTTTCTAATGAAAACCGAATTCAGAACACTTTGGTCAAAAAATTGCTGAAATTTGTACAGCAAAACATGCAATCAAAATCAAGCATACTCAAACACTTCATGTATAATATTATTTCGAAAAGTCTGGGGAATCCCTTACATAATATTTCCTACTAAGGGAGTCGGCTATCCAACATCCCCGGTTACACACCATAAACTTTTAAATATTTCCTACTAAGGATGCCGACATGCCGGCACCCCGATTACCTTATGCAAATCAATAAGTAAAGAAAGCAACAAAGACAATACGCAGACAATCAATTTTAGACCTCCTCGGTAGGTTTCTCCACATTTTCTCCGGTGCCACTGCTTTCGCCGACTTCGATCCCGGAAGATAGACGCTCCAGGACCTGCGATTCCTTCATTTTGGCAACAGCCTCAATAGCCCCATCTGGCACCGGAATAAGATCATCACGAGGGTCGGTCAGCTTCTCAACGCCATCTTCAGCCGGCGTGACAACCTTCACCACTTCGACATCCTTCTCGGCCGACATTGCCTTCTCCTCGAGGTATGCTTTAACCCGGCTCTGGATTTGTTCAGGAGTCATATCGTCAAAGTGTTGCTCAACCTCCACCTCGGCCAACGTCGAGAGGTACACATCGGCCAACTCCTTCCTCTTTTCCTTCTCCTCTTCCAAGATCATGTTGACGTAAGCACGTCGGAGAATAGCAGCCCTATCCTCGGAAAGCGGTGGCAAATCTGGGTTTGCATTCATTTCTTCTGAACGGCGGAGCATCCACACACAGAATTCCCGTTCGTCTTCATCAGCCGCCACGTGCATCCCCTTAATCTCCGAGTCAAAACCGTACTTCTCCAATTTGTGGAAGAGGAACAAGCGAAGGTCATCAATGTCGTAATAGCCGGCGTCGTAGCGCTCAATAATCCACCTCAGGTTCAAGCATGTGTTCATTTCAATCTCGAGGTCGGGACCACCGGCTTCATCCTCTTCACCGGCCTCATCAGCATTCACCTCGGCGTTGTCCCCGGACTTTGGTTCCACAATAACCGAATCTTTCCCGGCCTGAAATCCGTTCTCATACATGAACTCTCCATAAGATGATTTCTCCCTCTCAAGTTTGG